AAGATTATATTAGCAACAAACAACGAGCAGAAGTTCAGAAATAAAACGATGCAACCTCCTAGAAGAAGAATAAATGAGAAAGAACTTTGATATTAAAGTCATTGTGAATTAAGAAAGATAATCATAAGACTTCTTGAGCGTACCTCCATTTCAGAAGCAGAATTAAAGTCACCAAAATTCAGAGGTGTTTCTGAACTGCTTGTAGTTGCATTTGTTTCCTCATGGTCGCTCAACTTAGACACTGGAGAGCCATTTGGTTCAGGAAGCGTGGACAAATCTTCAATAATTTGACCATTTGGATGTGAAATATGTTGAGGAATAGCAGCTACATTTTCCGAGTTGGCGATTTCAACCTCGTGAGCATCCTGTTTAACAACCTCGTCTTCTTGATGGGCAGAAACAGCAACAGCCTCTGAACAAGATACGATTGCGCCCCGAGTATTCTGATAATTCATTTCAACCACATCAACCTGTTCATGAAAAGCTTTCTCAGTAGAGCTTCCAACTAATTCCAGGGTTTCCTGCATTGCCAAGTCCTTTTCTTCCTCAGAACCACTTTCACATGAGGATCCACCAGAACAAACCCCACGTTTACCGAAGTTAACAGAGTCTGAGCTCCCTTCAGTGTCCTTATTTAAATCGGATTGACAACCAACGTTCAAGATGACAGATTTCTCGCTTTCCCCTTCATTTTCAGTGTCATCCTCGTCCGAATCATCACTGTCACTTTCACCCATTTTCCTCTTCCCCATCCTAGCAAACAAATAATTATTTGCACAAAGCTAAAAAGAATGCACAGTTAATATATAGGGAATAAATACATTTCAATCTCCAGGTTCTAAATAATTCTTCAATAGATGGCTAATAGAAGAAAGTGGTGATGAGTTAACTGTGAGATCCCACGTCGGTTAAGGAGGAGAACAAAACAATCTTCGTAAGGGTGTAGAAACCTCTCCCTAGCATAAGGGTTTTAAAAACCTTAAGGGAAAGCTAGGGAGGGAAAACCCAAAGAGGACAATATCTACTAGCGGTGGGCTTGGGCCGTTACATGTAGATTCAATAAACGTTTACATGCTCTCAATGTTAAACGACTGGGATCCCCGAACAAAATTTTTCTAGGGAAACGTTTTAAAGATCACACAATTGGGTGGTTACTCAATGGAGGCCGTTTATTCGGGTAAGTTTCAAGGGTCCATATGAGAATTTGATTCCATCTTCTTTAGAGTTCCTAGTGGAGTTTCCAGCCAGATTTTCCCTTGGTGGCTTAATGGTGAAAATGTTCTTTGTTGGGTATATCCATCTTTCACTTCTTAATTGATAGGCTACCTTCTAATAATGACCACTTTCTTTTATTTGTAGCTGTGTTTGAGGTTTGAATATTCTTTTAATGCTGATTGTTGAAAGATCTCACTAATGATTAAACAGAAAAACTCATCAACTTCATAAAAACAAACTTAACATCAAAATACTTCCACATCTTAAAGCTGTAAAATTCATTCTCCTATGGGTTCATCAACATACAAAACTATCTTTCTAATATAATAAGGTTTCTAGTATCTATGGAATGGTCTCACGGATTGATCATCTGAAGAAGGCACTCCAACACAGATCATTTGATCAGAAACATTACTTTTGAAGGTGAAACAGCTCATTTGTAATGCTAATAAACACATAATTTAACACATCAAAGAAGAGGAAAAGGTTAAGAAACTAACCAGATCTTCAGCTTTTTGGCATCCCCACCATTGGCCATCAAACCACCCTTCCTTTTGCCCTTCATCACCGCATCTCTCACGGATTCCACGACCTCAGCCACACAACGAGCAGATTCCTCCCGATACTTCTCTACGTACTTTTGCGCCGCGGAATCACCCACCCCCTTCTTCCCGACCTTCCCTTTCTTCTTCAGAAACTCCTCAGCCACCGTCTCCAACCTCCTCTCCTCCTCCTCCGCCTTCCACTCCTCCAATCGCTTCTCCGCATTCACATGCCTCAACCTTCTTCCCCTCATGTCCCTACACGCATCGAAATTATTCGTCTTCTTCTGCCCTGCTTTCGTCGCCGCCCCACGCAGCAACGATCCGAACCCTCCCTTGCCTCCCACGAGTCGAAGCAGAAGATGAATAGTCGGAAATTTTCCCGAAGGCTCACCGGAACATGATACAACCGAATCATCCTCGATCGGACGGACTCCGGTGACAAGACGCTGGTGATTTGGGGGAATTCCAGTGCTCTCGTAGAGACTGTGCTTGAGGGCATGCCCGTATACAGAAGGGGAATTCAATTTCAAAGCTAGGGTTTTCCCATCTAACAGCCTCACGAAGAGATTGAAAATCTCGACATTTTGACGCCTGGATATGTCGGCACCCGTCGCCTCCATTGACGTAGAGCTTCGAATTTCGAATTTCAGTTTTCCATTTAACCCGTCGACTCCATTGATGGTTTAAATGGAGATTAATTAAATACATAATCTGTTTAAATCCTTATCATTATCTCTCATCCATATTAAGACATTATATATATATATATATATATATATATTTATTATATTTTTCTCTTTCTTTTATTCACATCATTTTTAATTCTTCTACTAACAAAATCATGCTAATTTATTTTTTTATTACATGCAACTTTTTCTTTTACAAAATTGAAATTGGGTTTAAATATAATTAGTAATTATTTATTATTTAATTTCTTAAAATAAAATGTTTTATTAAATAATATATACAAATAAAATTGATTAATATTTTTCTAATACAAATTTTAATTTAATTTTGTTAGTTGATGTAATTTATCTTAATTATTTATTATTTCTAATATTAACTAAATCATTAAATATAGAATAAACTAGGAATAAAAAAAATGAAATTTGTTATGGAATATTATTTAGCTAAAAATACAAAGGTTTCTTTTACTACATTTTTACATTTTTCAAGTTTCCTATAAATACATGGCGTTATAAATGTAACATTTATATGTTGCGGTCATAATTAACTACTATATAAATATAACCTAGAGTAAATAAAATGTTTAAAATGCATGAAACAATCCACCCAAACTTTATAACAATCAAACTTGATTCTTCATTGGCATGCTTTGAAACATCTTTTGATAATTTTGACAATAATTTCTTCCCATCTTCCTTAAAGTTTATAATGAATGATTCATATAAATTTTTCTCATATTTTAGGTTGACAATATAATGCTTAATAAAATCAAATAAAGATGTAATGTTTCTACTACGTAAATGAACAATTCATTTTCTTCGTGAAGACTACTGCCACACATCAACGTGGGTCCCTCCAACATGCTTTGTTCTTGATCATATGCTTCCTAGAAAAATTCTCTAAAACACGTCTCTTCTCCTTCCTCGGATAAATAATTCCGTAGACCCACCATTTTCATCATCCCAACTCATCTCTCTCTTTACATATCCACCCCCCCCCCCCCCCCCCCCCCCCCCCCCCCCCCCCCCCCCCCCCCCCCCCCCCCCCCCCCCCCCCCCCCCCCCCCCCCCCCCCCCCCCCCCCCCCCCCCCC